CACATTTACAGGATACCATTATTTAATTGCTGGTAAAATGTTTTCAAACATAATTGTTTTCACACAGTTTTGTTTTTTCTAAAATTATTACATTCTGTTGCTTTTAAAATTGTTATTTTTAAATTGGTTAAGAGAATAAGTATAAAATATACAAAATTATGAAGCCATTTACTATTTTGTGAAATTATTTGCTGTAAGAACGGACATTAAAAGCTTCGTTTCAATTATTACACTGAAAAGTAATTTTTACCATTGTACATAACCTATAAGGAGCATATGTTAATTTTTGGTAAAAAGTCTTCAAACATAATTACATTGAGAAGAACGAATAATTTTATAACGTTTCTACTTTTTCTAAAATTATCATTTTAAATTGGTTAAGAAAATAAGTATAAAATGTAGAAAATTACTAAACTATTTGTTTCATAAAATTACTTTAAAAACTCGATAAAAAAATGTTCTGTACAAGGATATTTTATTTACCCATTAAATTGAATTGAATGAATAAATTCTAATGCAGAATACAAGTAGTTAGCATGTATGACAAGTATGACAGGTATATTTATGATTACGTTTAGGTGCACGGGTGTGTCTGCGAGTTTCTTGCGAAGGGAGGTCAGTAGTTTAGTACGTCTACACAACAAAGGCGAACCACATACGGTAGTAAAGTAAGAACTGCCAGTTCCTACTTTCTCCACTGCAGACTGCCGTTAATGAAGGGACCTTATTGCGCTCTTGAAAGTGACCGATTAAACCCATCGACAAAAAATCACACGATCGAGGAAAGCCATACGAGAATGAGTCTTCGTTCCTTAGATTTAAATTATGCAATCAGTCAATGTATTACAATCATGGAAAAATAATTCTAATTATCCAAGTAATCGGCTAGCAGTATTAGTAAATAATGAGAAGGTCGACAAAACATTTCTGAGAAAAATTCTATTTTCTTAAATTAAATATAAGCAAACAAGCGGATTCTTTTTTCACATACTACACAAGAGAAAAAGTTGAACTGCAGGCTTTACGTTTCATTAGTTTTACGTGTTAATGACTTCATGTTTTTTTTCATTTCTGACCTAATCTTTCCTCTGTTGGAAATTAAAAAAATTAAACTGAAATTAATAATTATATCTTATATAATTATGAAGTGAATCTGATGGAAGAAGACGTGATAAATGATCAGATAGAATAGAATATTGTATAACAGAAAATATTAGAAGAGGATAAATAAAATTCAATTTTGTTTTGTGCTAACTTCTTCAAATAATTTTAGATACAAGAATTTTAAATTAGTCCTATTGTAAGCTTTCCAAGAATAACACAAGGTGAGCTCAGAAAAGTATCAATGTTATTGTAAATCTTTAAATCCGGTTTGAGGAGAATGCAGACAGTTTTCCTTATTTATAGAAATCAACACCCAAATACTATGAAGTAGAAGATATTAGATACTATCGAGCAATTTTCGAGGAATTTTCCACATAACTGTATAGTAAGTCTTAAAAATTGTAATTGGATTTTATTTTCGCAAAAATTCTATTACATACTTTTATGATTCATAAAATCTTCAACCTGTTCTCACGTAATTCTGTATATACATAAACAATTATGAAACTGTTATTTAATTTCTACACTGAATAGCACAGATAAACTAATTAATACCAACAAAGGACGCGTTCAATAAAAGTAAACATTTTACACTATTGAAGTGAATATGTTACTGTACGAACACTTTCCGTACCAATTCTATACCCATTATAACATACAGACTGCAACAATTGATGTACGGTCATTAAAAGTTTAATTTAAGAATAATCATCGTTTAATTCATCTCAAGTCTATCCATTGACTCGCGTTGTTTCGTCTCGAGCGCAGCTGATAAAAGACCAGCAAATCGATCGTAAGATTCGCATCTGGAGGAGTTACCAACCGAGTCACTTTCGAACTACATATACGTATTAATGCCTATAGTGCGGCCAAATCGAATGGGTGAAAGAACTGCAGCGATCGTGTCGCAATATGCGCCATGCGCCTCCTAGACGATGATATAACGTTGTGTCGCCCGCTTATCATCTACGCGTGTACGAAAATACATGCGCGGTATCGTGTTTTTACTCTCTTATACGTTCTCGTACGATCGGCGCGAACTATTCGTTACGCATGCACTCTGCATCATGGTCGGTCAACCTAGCTTAACCTTCTATTACGTATGACACGTATACATGCTCGCGCGACTATGTAAGAGCGGAACACACGTACGACGTGCACATACACGGACAGTACATATTTTGTAATTGTGTAGACAGTGTGCAGATGTGCTTAGTGATATAACAAGGTTTCGCGTACGTTTATGTACGTATGCATCTATATCTAATGCTATCACAAATATATAGATATACAATTTTGTGTGTGTGTATTATATATACATATATTTACACGTATACATATAAACATACATACACCATAGAAAATTGTATACCTATATATTCTAATAAATATAAATCTGCACGGAAGAATATCTTACCATTGGTGGTATTATTGTGCCACCATATTACCGATAAATTTGCATTTTCCTTATTTAAAGCGTCAGATACTTTGTGCAGCTCGTATGTGTTTCTGCGTGTATATTTAGCAGTAATTTGCGTGAAATGTATGTTATTAATTATCGCGATATTATAGTACTAGGTGAACAATTGCTGTTTGCGAATAATTGCTAATATGTGTAAATTACACCACGGTTACCAACAAACTAGATCACTGTAATAAAATCTATCTTTGCAACTTCAATTGTGTGTAAAAAAAATGTTTAACCACCATTTGAGAATAATAACACAGCGTTTCTATGATTATTTGTTGATAATTCAGTGAAACGACATATTCCTTTTTCTTGCTAATAGTTTTCGAAGATTAATTAAGGTATAAATCTAGCGACTAATTACTTCGAGTGTTTTATGTTTACATGATACGTCATTCAAGTTACTATTCAGAACTCAACACGATTGCAATCTCGATTTTAATCGTTTTGATTAGATCAACCGCACTGACTAGCATTGAAGTTGCAGCGAGACACGCAAAATCGATGTAATCGATAACTTGAAATCGATTTAGTTGTTATAATAAACGTTCGTAAAATTTATATTTACTAGTGTATCTTTTTTTAGGTTGTAAATATTTGTCGAATATATGTTTCGTATTAATTCGTAAATCGTTGGTGAATACATTTTATATCCTTTATTTAATTCCAAGTGAAAAATAACTAACCATTTTCGCGTGTTGAGATAGACGAGACTGACACACTACTTGCAGAAAATACACGCTCGTGAAAAATGAGATGTCGCGGTGTCTGGTAGTGGGGTCGCATCACGTTAAACCCGCGAACGCACAAACGAAAATGATCAAAAGTATGAACTACGAACGAAGGTTAATACTTGAAAGCTTATTGGTGCAGTTAACATACGATATTTGCCTTATGTAACGTCACAGTTTTGTTTGCTTTCGAATGTTTCGTGTTTAACAAGATGCAACTCGAACGAGTCTGAAACGCATCGAAATTTCGTTTACGGTTTTCCAATCGCATTATCTCGCTGCTGATAGACAACCAATCGATGCATTTACATGTCCTACTTACGGATCTATTGTAGACGCTTGTTCACGAAGTTGCCTGAAAACTTATACGTAAAACTAGTGGTCGAGCTACTGGAATATGTATCGAACGGTTGTATTGCAATTTAAGAACTCTATCCTATTTTATAAGCCAAATAGTCCGTCAGTACTTTTATGAATATTTGCAACGGTTTTGTTTGACGATTGTTTCGTTCGAAAAGGTATCCAAATTGCTGACTTACCAGGCATACAAAATGTTACTGTCGTGGCATTGCACATGTGACAATACTTGATCCGATAAAAGGCACACTTACGCAGAGAAACACTCACCTTTAATTTACTGGCGAACGATCATCGCGACTTTTGCACTTCATAACTGATGCTTACACTCGATTTTCCGGATAAAAATATCAATTGCGGGAAATAGAACTTTCGAACACGCGGAAGCACTACGCGAACAGCGAACACTAACGTAGTCCGCAGATTGCCGCCTGGCCGGCAGAGCGCCAGAATTTCGGAATGCTTTAAAAAACTGTATTCCTTAAGATGGCGACACCTTCTGACAGAAGCCTCAGTCTTGATTGGATCGCGAATCGATATTTCGCGCGCAAGGAATTATGGGTTGGCGCTTTCCCGCTCACTAAAAAGCGCGCTAAAAAGTGTTTGAATTCTGTGTAACGATTGGAAGTCGAAATGTGCAGTCAACCATGTTGCTTAGTTTCGTTTGAGCTAACGGTTACTTCATACGTGAATGAATTTGATTTTAACGAATAACAAATTAACTTCTTTTTATAAATACTAATAATCTAGTACCACGAACATTTTCGAACTAAGTTTTCGATAAAATAGTGCGCGATATGAAAATAGAGTGTGCAATATTCTGATACGAAATAAAACATCATTTTCTAACAATTATAATTTAAACTACTCGCGACCGCGGGCATACGTTGATATTAGTAAAACGTGGAGAATAATGTGAAATGTAACGATATATTAGCCCTTTTTATTTTAATTGTGTGGTGATAAGTGTATACGATGTGTCGAAATTAACAAACGTCGTAATTATATAAAGCAATTCCTATGGTCGTAATGGAGCATCTTTCGACTCAATGCAATTGGAATACAAAGGTATGTAATTCTTTATTACTATCGAATAATTGTGAAAAATGGTGATATTGATTTCTTTTTATGATAAATATGTTCAAATATGACATAATTTTATATCTAACGTTACGATATGTGTAAAGGCTCGGATTTTTCTCGAAGTTCTTTTTTAGATAGGATAATTTTTATTCAATAAGATGGAAGTAAATTACACATTTTATTAATATAACATTAACTTCTTACAGTTTTGTACATTAAAAATTATATATTTGTGAAAGTTATAACACCTATATGTCTTATGCTTGTAATACTGGCCTTTCATGTTTCCCTTCTAAGCAATCATTGACAGCTGAATATCCAGTCCCACCCTGAATAGAAATCATCAATATTATTATTATAGCTTATTTCATTTTTCTTTTATACTTATTTTTAACAATTACCCTTTGGAGAGGTATAATATCTGATTCTCTCAATTTTGTACTATCTAAAGGATTGATCCAATCTTTTTTTATAATTTTTTCTACACATTCCATTGTAATCACATCACCACTAAAAAATTGTCATATGATATTAGTTTATGTTTAACGTATGAAACATAAAATAATAAACAATATTAAATTTTTAAAAATCATACGTTGTCCTTATAATTGCACATGGTACACTGTTACTTAAAATATCATGTGTAATTGGGCACATGTATCTTGCTTGCTTAACAATGAGAGATTTTCTATCATCTGGATCCTTTACTTCAGTAAATTTCACAGGAATAAGATCCTTTATTTTCAATGGTTTTCCACTAATAGGACAGTAAATTGTTTTATCTGGTTTTTGTAACATAGTTTCTTTTGCCTCTGGTGTCTTAGAAGGAATCCAAAAACTTGGTAACAGTTTATCTTTGCCATTGCTCATATTTGAGACTGAAGAACCTGATTCTTCAGTAAGGATTTGACTTCTAGAAACAATATTTTTCTCTCCTTTCAAAAACTTTTGTAATTTCTGCAGCTCTTCATTAGCAGTTTTTTCATTATTTTTGTCCTAAATAAATTGCAAAAATTAATTGTGAAATGTACAATATTTTTGCTATATTTCTATTTACCTGTTCATGCTGCTTTTGCTTTTCATATTCCCTCATCTTCCTTGCATACTCTTTTTTCTTGGTTAAAACATATTCCAAGATTGCTTCTTTATCAAATAAGTAACCGTCTTTCCTGTAAATATAAAACTAAGGATGTAACATAAGGACAAGGAATAAATGTTACGATATAATATACAGACGTTATGACAGGATTTCTACAAGGTTGTAATGTGAGACAACAACAATCGAAATCCTTAACGGAATCTTTTCCTACTCTCTGGGTATTTGTACCGTAACCCGAGGCTGATGCATCTTTCTTTTTTTCATGATATGTATAAACAGCACCAGCCGTACAATTTCTAGCGTGTCGTGTCATGTTTTGTTTACTAACTTATTTCGTTCTAACCTAAACGTGTATACTTTGTGCTGCGCAATACATATTCACTAGCGGCATTTGAATTTTTTGAGGTTAGTTTAAATCACTAAAAATAACAATAGAAGTGTTTACTGTTCTCATAGGGGATTTTGTGTGAAATTGAATAGAGACAATTAGATGTGAAACTTTTTTTCATTTATTTCCAATAAAATTAACAGGAACAAAATAATACACAATTTGTTTCATTATTGTTTTGCAAAAAATAAAATAATTTTTATTATAGTTAGTGCAGTGGTTGTAATTGATCATTTTAATGGAGAAAATATTTTAACTACCAATGAGCATAAATTGGAAGATTTTTTTTCATTTGTGTATAAACAATATACAATTTGTGTAAATTCATAAATGTTGTTTTACACACAGTAAGTTACAAATGGCATAATTTTATTTGTATACATAGAATACTCACTAGAGCAAAATATTTACAGTTTTAGTAGTATTGGACCATTGTAAAAAAAAATAAAACTATCTTTTCTTGTCATCACAGTCACTGTCTGATGAATTGTCTTTTTTATGTTTTTTATGTTTCTTATGTTTTGATTTCTTTTTCTTCTTTTTATGTTTATGTTTCTTTTCTTCTTCTTCTTCTTCTTCACTGGAAACTTCTGTTTCTGTTTCACTGTCACTTACTTCTGACTTTTTACGCTTTTTAGATTTCTTCTTACTTTTCTTTTCTTTGTGTTTCTTTTTGGCTTCTTGAAGCTTCTTTTTCAATTCCTTTTCTCGTAATTCAGTTAAAGGAGTAACATAATTTTCATCACTATCAGAACTTGTACTACTAACATCTAAAACAATCTCTTTGTTTGGGTCTACTTTTATAAAATTACGACATTGATATGTAAGGTGTCCAGCATATCCACATTTCTTGCATGCTGGTCGTACATGCTCCTTATTTTGTGGAATTAATCTAGAAAGGAACTCTGGATCCATGACTACAAAGAAAAATATGAAAATATATC